GTCTCCAGTCCATCACGGAGATACCTGGACAGGTCTCCAGTCCATCACGGAGACACCTGGACAGGTCTCTGGACCATTATGGAGACAGGTCTTCCTTAATGTCAAATCAAAAGTGTTTTAATGTGAAATGATCAGAGACAAACTTTATTTTGTTATTTATTTTGACTTTAATACAATTAAAAAAGATAAAGAGGCTGGAGAGATTTGTTCAGAACCTTTTAACTCAGCAGAACTGGACCCTCCTCTCTGAGAGGGGGTGGGGGGATGAGGTTTAACACGGGGGGGGGGGGGGGAAGGCACGAGCTAGGGGGGGGGGGGGGGGGGGGGCGGTGCTTTTTCCTTTCTCTCTGGCTTTAGGAAAGAAAAGAAGGAAGGAGCGCAAGGCAGAGCCCCGAACCAACTGAGGAGGGATGGATGATTGTGGTGGGGGGGGGGAGTGGGCGGGGCCAGACCAGGCGTGCCCCTCATTGGCTGGCTGAGCTCCAGCACGGGATGGATCGACTTAGCACGGCTCGAATTCCACCCTCCGCCGTGCATTAGTTTGTTTTCCTGCAGCAGGAGAAGTTGGGTCGCTTCGACGCGCACAAGGAGCTTCTCTCTGTTGGATTACCGCCGCGCGCGAGGATCTAAATCAATGAATTCATGCAGGTGAGGTGAGTCCTGCAGCTGCGGGGATCTCAGCTGTTTTTTTCCCACAAAGTCTGAGGAGAGAAGTGTTGGACCGGACCGGGAAACCTCCTCCTCCTCCTGGGTCGAGCTGCATCTGATCCGAACCGACACCAAGAGTCCGGCTCAGCGGAGCCGCACAGATCATTTCTATTCTCTGAGCCTGAGGAGGAAACTAATCAGTTGAGCTGCCGCCTTTCAGTCACTTTCAGCTCCTGGTGGGGGGGCTGCTGTTGAGTCTTTGTTTCACCGGATCACATGCATGTTCAGGCAGGGAGGAGCAGCTGAAGGAGCAGCTGAAGGAGCAGCTGAACGTTGGTGTTTGGAGCGTTTTACGCGCTGCGCTCCGCTTGTTGTTGGATCATGATTCCTTCTCTCTGCTCTCCAAAGTTAACCGTGCTGAAGGGGCTGCTGGATTCAGTGTCTGGGGGAGGGGGGGGGCGGTGTGTTCGTGGCACAGCTTTAATGATCAGTGCGCGCGGAGCTGCAGCTCACTCTGTGCGCATCTGGAGTCCGACTGCCTCTCTCAGGCAGCATGTTGGGTTCTGGAGGTTCGACGGCTGGGTTAGTTTCCAACATGTTTGAGCACAAAGAAACGAAACGCAGACGTTTTCTGAATCATAACATTTTCAGAAGACTCTGCTGAATTAATCCTAAATCCTCCAAACATTCTCCACAACGAACCAACAGATGGCTTCAGTTGGACTGAAGCTCCACCCGGCACATTCAAGTCTCCACTTCCCTCCCAGCCTGAGTGCTGTCCCTCTGTTGTATTCTAGAGTCCTGCCTGTGGACTGGAGGGGGACAAAACGATTTTCCACGGACACAACTCGAATGCCTTCATGCTCCGGTCTGCACAAAGCCAGCATTAGTGTCGGGTCCAAGCACGAAGCAGAGGAACAATTGACTCTAAAAGGAGTGACAGGGACAGAAAATCCCTGAGCCTGTTGTTACCTGACAGGAGTAAAGTTGACACGTTAGAAATAAAATCTCTGCTGTGCTTTCGTTTCCCTACTTTCTGTTGGTTTCTTGTTGGAGCCAGATGTGCTGAGGCTCAGCAGAGTCTCAGATAATTACAGAGCAGATCTCAGGCAGAAACACCACTCTGACCGGCTCAACCATCACAGTCCCCCACCCCCCACCCCCCGTTTGTCCTCTACTTCTCAGCAGCACAGCTGGCTGAGTCTCAGTGCGCCTCAGAGTCCAGGAGGTCAGAACTCCGTGACCAGAACGACCGGCGTTGACCTCCTCTGTGACCCCGGAACCAGCAGCGTTTAACCGTACGGCCATCAGTGCTAACCCCAAAGTGCTGAGCACGGATCGGTCAGGCTTTAACAGACGGAGGGGCCACAACTTTTGGGTTCAGCTGTTTGTTTAGTCCCTTTAGGAGCCCCAAAACAGCCAAACTGCTCGGGGGAGGGGGGTCCATTGTATTCAGTTTCCCAAAGCCCCTTTTGTTTCCTGGTCACACCTGCAACTGGAGGCTTTGTGCTGCTGAGAACAGCTCTCGTTTCACTCCGGTGTTTGCCGACGTGTGGAGACGTAGGGAGGCCCAGCTGAAGGTGGTACGGGACCGGGCTGGAGCTGGAGAGGAGCTGCTGAACTGAGGGAGTCTCCAAACTGTCCCCAAACGTTCACAGCGGTTCCTCAGTTCCCGGTGCGAGCCTCAGAAGACGCTCAAATTATGACCGTGTTTAAATTGTAGTGTTTTCTCCACGTTGTGAGAGTTGGAACCCTGCTCCGTTTGGTTTCTCAGCACCACAGGTGTGTCCTGACACCTGCAGGAGTTCTCCTCTGACCCACAACACCAGAGGTCACAGCCCGAATGTCCAGGTCTGAAACTACACACTAACATTGATCAAAGCCTGGTTCAAATCTGCCTTTGTCATTTCTGAAGTCTTCTGTTGAATGAATCCTAAACGTGGGGGCAGCTGCTGGACGGTGTGGACAACAAAATAATGTGCACGTCCACAAATAAAAACGAAGAGGTCGGTGAAAGTTCATGTGAATTGAGTCTGATTCGTTGTCAGCTGTGAACAACAGACCCAGCAGCCCAGTGAGGCGTCCCCCTGAAAGTTTCAGATCATCTGGACCTCGGCTCTAAGCTCGAAGACGTTTTGTTTCTATCCCGAGGAGTTTTTTTATATTCAGGACTGGAGCTCAAAGCTTTAAACAGCAGGAGACGCTGTGTCAGTCAGCTTCACCTTCATGCAGGTGAGCGAACCTCTCCGAGGCAGGCTCAGCAGGGAGGGAGGCTGTGTCAAAGTCCATCTGAGCTGGACACAAATGCCTTTTTAGAACCTTTGTTGTTGGACCAAGGTGTGCCGCCATGTTCGTTGAAAAGCTTTAAGCTCATATTCACTGGTCGCAGTGAGACTGGCCTGTTTTTACAACTCAAAGTTGGGAGAAAATGACAAAGTGGGCTGACTTTCTGAGTCTTTCTGAATCCCGAGTGTTTGCAGCAGCAACATTTGGAGCGCTGAACGTTTAAAATCATGACCTCTCGTGCGCAGCTTGAGAAACTTCCAGGTTGTGCACACCTCGGCCTGCTTTGTATCCAACTTTGCATTTTATGATTTAATCAGGACAGCACTGAGGACGGTTGTTGTGAAACCGGGTCCAAACCGATCCAAAATGGCTGTCGATGGAGCCACATCATCCGTGGGCAACATATGACCCAGGGGCCGAAGGTGGTCTGTGGGCAACCTCTGACTGGCCCCCAAGATTCTTAATAGAAAACAACTTTTTAAAAAGTTTATGAGATCCTGCATTTTATCAACAAAACATAAAATTTAAATGAAATATCTTGGATAATATCTTTAGAAGAAGGATAAAGCTTTTTTAAGATGCGTTTCCAGAATTTAACTGACCTTAAAAACTCTTATTTTTCATATTTAGGCTAATCTAACATCACAAGAGCCACTCTACAGAAAGTGTGTCTTATATTTTTTTAATATTTGAATATATATTTTTTGTCAGTCATGCTTCCTGATTGTGGAACAGTTGACCTGATCATTTAAAGACCGCTGAGACTTTTAAATCTTTGCTCAAGACTCATCTGTTTTCCCTGACATTTGATCCATGCAGACACTGAAAACCAGTTAGAGCTGATTTTTCTTGTTGTTGTATTTTCTTGTTGTGTTTCCATCCTGAGTGGCACAAGATGTTTGTTTTTCTCTTTTTAATTTGACTGAATTGTAAATCCCTTTGCTCAGCTTTTGTTGTTTTTATGTGCTACAGAAATAAATGCTATCACTTTACAATAAGGCTCCCCTTACAGATGGCTAATAAATAGTTTATAGATATGTTATTAATTCCTCTATAAACACTTTATAAATCATTAATAACTGCTAATTATGCATTAAAGGTGACAGAGACTAAACTGACCAGCTTCTTGCCAAATACTGAGATAAATCTGTTCACATATTTCACCTAGAGTTGTTATATTAAACATGTCAGATTAAGTTACTACCTTGTAAGCACAATAAGCATTTGTAAACCTAATTTTTTAGGCTATAATATTAGTTTTAGATATGTATAATGTAGTGATAAAGTACAATATTATATGCTAAAGAAATAGGTTTGCAAATGCTTACTGTGCTTACAAGGTAGTAACTTAATGTTTCATATAACAGCGCCAGATGAAATATATAGGTCAACAGATTTGGTTCACTATTTGGCAAGAAACTGGTTGTCTCTGTCACCCTTAATTAATGCATAATAAGCAGTTATTAATGATTTATAAAGTATTTATAGAGGGATTAACATATCTATAAACTATTTATGAGCCATCTATAAGGGGAGCCTTATTGTAAAGTGGTATCTAATAAATTGACATTGCTAACTACGCTACAACAAGAAAAAACATGTTTTGTTTTCAAGATTATGTCTTAAACAAAATATTTTTCCAAGTCTCTATGCGGCCCTTCGATTGTTTTTATACATCTTGATTTGGCTTTTTGTAAAAAAAAAAAAAAAAAAAAAAAAATTTAAGTTGCCCACATGTGTTTTGACAGCAGATTTACACAGAATGCCACAACCCCCTCACCGTTCATCTGGGTTGGAAGTACAGACCGTGATCTTCCAATGGTTGGTTAGACTTCTAATGTTTTAATGATGATTATCGTTATTCACAGTTTTGAGAAGTTGAGATTTGAGGCTGCAGCCTCGGATGTGTTCTGTCAGACGAGATCTCTCTGCAGGAGTCCAAAATTAAATAAATTAGAGAAACGTGACGACGCTGAGACTATTTGAGGGAATCTGAGTGACTCGCACGAGGTTAGAAACCTTTTAGGGACTCCCTCGTGTGCACCATTCTTGAAGTATCTCCCACAGTCACAGCCTGCGGAGGTGCTGCACCAGCTTCTCCTTCTGCCACGGAGCAACAAGTTGAACTGGACCTGTCAGAACGAACCTGACGTAAATAGCTCACAGTTCAGGACGTTGCTTATTACTGTGGGAAGTGGGAGCTGGCGTAGAAATCATTTCTGTGCCCGTGTGGTTGCTGCTCCAATCATCGGGCTGACTCACTTTCCAGCCATGCTAAGAGTCGTGCGCAGCACGAGCGTCCAAACCCCAGAGCCTCGAACCCGACTCCTGACTTCTCTGATTTCCTGCGCTGGGCGGTTTGCAGCTTGGCAGGGTGCAACATGACGAGGCGAGCAGCCTTCAGCAGCAGCTGCCATTGTTCTACTGGGATTACATCCACCCATCACATTCACACACTATTTACCAAATCTCACGCACCGCGGCCGTTTACCGCTCTCTTATTTCAGAAACGTGTCATCGGAGGCCAGAACACGGCGCTCAGTACAAACACAGCTAAAGGGAGGGGGATACTGGCAATCTGCAATGGTGTGGACTCAAATCACAGGACTTGGACATGAGTCATTAATATTAGGACTTTGGACTTGACTCGATAAAATGTTCAGAGACTTATGACTTGACTTTAACCTGATGACTTGGGACTTGACTTGGACTTT